CAAGTAGTGTTATTGTGCTCTTTGTATTTGATGTAGTTTCCATGGAAATAAATAGGAAGCATTGCTTTCGGAGCAACATGCATATGTTTATTCAGGAGATTTGGGACAGATTTTTTTGTGTGATGAGTTGCTCTGGGAGTAGAACCACTGCTGCTTGGCTTCTTAGATTTTGTCTTGAAGATTTTCTGCGGGATCTTAGGGCATCTCATAAGAGTTGTCATCCTTCGGAAGCCTCTCTTCCAGATTGTATGTGAGTCTTATTAGGCACTTACTTCCAGGAAACTCAAAGGAACGTAATTATTTTTGAGGCCTCCACTCCTCTGCCTTTTGTAGTAAATGACTTTTAAATCTGGTGGGCATTTTCAGAGGGATGCTGAGAAACAAAGGTACAGAATTGTAAGGTGCAATGGTTTTGTATTTGTAAAAGAAAGAAAAATATACCCTTTTCTGAAACTACTAAATCAAGTGCATGAAAATGCGACTCTGGCATTTTTCTGCATACAAAAGAGAATTGTAAAAAAAAAAAAAACAAAAAAAAACAGAAGGAAAAATGAGGAAAAAAAGATAAAGAATCATGTAGCAGAGAAGGGAAAGGAAAGAAAAATAATCTGTTAACCCATGTTTAGATAGTGGCTGAAAGAGTTGGGTCATTGTTTGGAGCTCCATTCCAAATTGGCAGAAAGCAAATACTGGATGTGTCCTAAAAGAGAAAGCCCTGAAACCCAGGACTGAATTGGAGCCAATGTGTTTCTGACAGAATTTTGATGTCTAAGCATTTCTGTTGATTGCAAATCCAAATAGGATGAAAAGATTGATTATGGAGAAAAATACTCTTTTATTTCTCACAAGTTAGGCATTCCAGGAGAGGGAAAAATTATTTTGAAGAAAAAAAAAAAAAAGTGAAGTTTTGCTTAGAAGTGTAATTTTTATTCACCCCAAAATATTTTTAAATGACATTTTGTTTCATTTTGTTTCCTTGGTAATGTCAGAACCATAAAATGAATTTCCAAATATATCTCATTTCATCCAAGTGGTATTTTAATGATTTTAATACAGAAAACTATTTAGGTGAAATTCTCCAACCAGTCTAGTTGTATTTCCTCTCCAGGCTATGCAGCTATTTTAGCAGAAGCTTTTCAGATGTGAAGAACTCGGTAATCCCATGTCTTTGGCAAAATCACTTGTCTTGATTTGACTAATCAAAATAAGAAATCATGAAAAAAATACATATTTTCCCCAAATTCATAACTTTTTTTTTTAAAAATCATCTTTGACTCCCCTAGCATATGTTCTTGCATGTGTTTTTTGGCACTCCTGAAGGGCAGATCTATTTCTTACATGCTTGCTGACTTATTTCACAGGGGAATGAATTTTGTCCTGGATATGTGTGCAGAACTCCTGTGACAACCATAAGTTTTCTTTAATATCTTTGTATGCATAGAGTTCCTGTACTAAAATGAAGTTTGCTACCTGCCCACCAGCAAAGCCATATGCTAGCATCAAATGTTAATTGGCTATCAGTCGAGTATTTAGTCCTTCTCACCTGCTAAATGGATAATGCGAGAAACTTATACAGAAGTTAATGGAATATACTTTCTAGTCCTTGTTAAATTGCTTGTTTACTATAGATTTGTTTCATTAGAATCACACGGAATGAGTATCTAATTTCTTACAGCATTGCAGGCTCTTCAAAATTCTCATTCGTTTGCCAGTGTAGACTTACAGACATCCAGGATGGAGGGGACCTCAGATCATCCCGCACAGCAGCCCTTATTCTTCAGAAAGGGTCCCTTGGCAATAAAAGTGGGAGCTCTGCTTTCAGCTTCTGCCATGCTCAGACTGATGATGGGATGCACCACTCCCACCTGAGCTCCTAGCCCTCTCACTGGAAGGATTGAGGAGATGCCCCCGGGGCCCCATCTCCAACCATCACCCCAGGGCTCTTGGTCAGCCCTATATGCATTCAAAGCCACTCTGATGGTATCACTGGTGGTTACGTGGCTGAGTGGTAGGAACTTGCTTTTTAGTGTATTACTGTTTTTGAAATAAAAGGGAAAAACAAAAGGAAAAAAGAAGGAAAACAGCAAATCAAAATGCTACCCATTGCCTTTAGCTTATTTTCATGGAATCTTTAGCTTATTTTCATGGAATCTGTAAAAGGAAGACGAAGGCTGCATTGGCTAGTTTGTAGCTACTGCTGTCTTAGGTAGGAATCATTCTTGCCAAGCCATGAAAGCTTTCATGACTGTGAATTCAACATTCTTAGCTCAGCTTGTTCAACAAGGGACAGAAAGTGTGCCTGAAGTTATTTATACCCAGCTTGCCATTAGTACCCACTACAAGGTGCAGGATCAAGCGGTCAGCCTGGAAGAATCTGAATTCAAAACTGGTGACACAAAAGATAATAGATGAAAAAGTGGTTCTTCTCAAACTATGGGCATGTATGAAAATTCCAGGTTACTGTGCTGTGTACTCTTGGAGAGGTCTTGGTCCAGCCATAGTCCAAGCCAGAGCTATGGAGTGTGCCATAGTCTGTGCCTAGGATTGGAAAACCATGTGTTTGTGTTGGAAGGATGTACTAGAATAAAAAAATACAAAACTATTTAAATAACAAAATATAATGAGAAAAAGTATTATGCTGTAGGTCAGGAGAAGGAAAGAAAGTTGCTATTCTAAGGTAGTTTTCAGGTAAATATCAGATATTGATAGTATTTGGTGGATCTTAAGGCCATAGAAGGCACTCAGAACATTAAAAATTTTTCAGGATTGCATTCACACACCACATTGGATTGTGTTTCTCCTACAGTAAGGTAGTGGCGCCTTTGAGGTTAATGGTAGGGGGATTGTACCTTTAATGCACATATGTATAGTATTCAGTGCTGACTTCTGCATGTGGACTGTAAGTACTGGTAAATATTCGTCATACTAGAAAGGCAGGAAATGTATATAAGCAGTACTGTGATCTGAGAGCTGAGGGTCTTATACATCTTCTACGTATAGTTCATGACAGCAGTGCCCAGCCAAGAGCAAGGTTTCAAAGATTTCCTTCTAAGGTTAAGTTAGTACTGTAAGAGTGCTTGGTGTGAAGCATGTTTGTAAGTCTTCTAATGACAAAATTGAAACAAAATACTGTTAAATTTATGTGCAAGCAGAAAGAATTAGCTCAGTGTGTTAGACAGAGGGTAGAGAGAGCTAGTGGAGACAAAGGAGAGAAATTGGTTTAGCAAGTTGCTGCCTGGTATGGAATGAAAGGAAAAGAAAGAGGAGAAAAAAAAAACTGAGCTGCAAACTCATCAAAAACAGAATTGTTAATTGAAAGGCTGACAGACCTGTAACTACAGCAGTGCTGCTGGCCGCCACTATAATAAATGTAACTGTACATTTAGAGTAATTTGCTAATTTGCCTATGTAACACCCACAGACAGCAACATGACATAAATACATTAGTGGAAGCAACAACTATAACCAGCTCATACAGGTTCTTGGCTGCTAGATGGATGGATCAGATGAGCTGGAAAAGATTTACAAAACAGAATAGAAATGGAATTGTTAACAATGTTGTGGCATGCTGGATTTCTTTTTTTTTTTTTTTCTCTCCTTATTTTCCTCAGAATGCTTTAAGTCCTGCAGATGACCTTACATTATGCAGCACGTAAAAAACATTTAAAACTTGTGTATGTGTGCACACAGAAATGTGGAAATGGAGTATACAGCTGCAAAAAGTGAAGCATGAAGCATTTCAGAAACACAAATTGCAGTATTTACATTTCAAGAAGTCTTTCACATGAATAATTGAGTCTGTGTGTAATAATTAATACCCGAACAGAGTTTCCCTTAATACATTTTCTAAAAGCACAGATGTATTGGGTCCACAAGTGGGATGGTAAGATCAATTTTCCTAATAATAAAGTCAGAAATGTCTGAAATGAATACGAAGGAGTCATGCAGATATTTTCATTCATAAGACACTGAGTTCAGCCATGTATATACATCTCTGGGCTAGTGTTTCCGTTCTCTCCTCTTTCTGGAGCTCCGAATCCCACTGTTGGATTTTATCTTTCATCCTACTGATGCCAACTCCTACCAAACGCATGGACTGGTGACATAAAAACCCTGTAGGTTTTCTCTCAAATGCACATAAAGCACTCAGCAGAAGTCTTCTAGGACAGGTGATCCCTGCTTTATGGGCAGAGTCCAGCTGATAACCAAAGTGGAGTCAGGTGGAAGGGTTCTCTTGCAGTATTGCTTTCAGGAGAAAACACGTGTGGGGGGATACGTACTCTTGCCTTAGGCAGGAGGTTGCTGTTAGGTTTTTCACTAACTGTGAGTTGTAAAATATTCTTAAACATGAGTCACTTTAAATTATAGACCATGGATCCAAGGAAGTCAGTGAGAAAATAGAGCTGTGAAAAGCTAGGAATCTCTGGGGGATGTGGAGTTCTGACAGTGAAGCTCAAGGCCTGTCTTGTTTGAAGTCTTGGTCTTCATATTGGGGCAGGGAGGGCAGCAGACCCATGGGTGACCCAAGCCTTTAGTCAGTGAGACTTTGTCAGTGCAAGCTGGCAATGACCGCAGGGCTAGGGAATGAGAACTGGGATAATTTATTGAGCATTGTGGCTGGTTTCCTTTGAACCCTAATTTCTGTCACTGAGTTGTCATGGCTGTCACAGTAAGTGATACTTGCAATGCAAATGGCAATTAAAGGGAAGTAAATACTAGAGCAGAAGTCTGCAGACTGTTATTTAAGGATGATGAGTTGAAAGTAGTTTCAACACAATAATGCTAAGCAAGCTAAATCGTACTGTGCCCTGAAGAAGACAGCAATGTCATTTACCCGAAATCACCAGGAATTATAGTAACACTGAGAAGGAATGTGCTCAATTGTTTTGACTATGTGAGCCTATTATAGGAATCGATAATAGTTTGTGAGTCTGCCTATTTTCTTTGATCGGATTTTCCATAAAACAAGTAATTTGTTTGTTTTTCACTGTTTTAGGTAGCCTGCCCTATGAATACAAGATTGTGATAGCAGGAAATCATGAATTGACCTTTGACCAGGAATTCATGGCTGACTTAATCAAGCAGGACTTTTACTATTTCCCCTCTGTTTCTAAGCTGAAGCCAGAGAGCTATGAAAATGTACAGTCTCTTCTAACAAACTGCATCTATCTTCAAGACTCTGAAGTGACCGTGAGGGGATTCAGAATATATGGCTCCCCTTGGTAAGCAGGTTTTATAGCATACATTAAAAAATATTGTTGATTGCTATCGCATCAGCCATTTTGTATGCATTCAGCCATATTTGGATTGCTGTGTTAGGAAGAAAAGTAGTACTCAATTTGATAAAGTTTTATATATTGTCTTGTAATGAATCACTCTTGTGACAAAATTATATGCTTGTACAGAACGGGTATTGTTAATAAAAAAATGATGGGGGAAAGATAGAGTACTCTAGACTCTTACCCAGGAGCAGTTCTTTAATACAGTCCTTGCAGATCTTTTTCTGTCATAAAGTCTGTTTTCAACACTTAGTAAGTTTATATAATTACAGGTTAATTTTATTGCCAGGATAGATTCTTTTGACAGTTTCTGTCCTACAGATGATATTTAAGGTTCATTAATGTATACAGTAGTCATGTAAAGCAGCAAACTTGTTTCAGTATTTGTTCAGGTTTTTTTTTTCCCTTTGCATCCCTCAGAATCCTACTTTCCTTTATACAATAGTAGCTTTCCTCAAGGTACAGCTGAGCTTTAAATTAATTAAAATCAGCAAATTAGTTGCAGCCTAGTATTTCATGGTATTCATGGTATTGTATTGCCTAGTATTCATGGTATTCATATTTCATAGTATTCATTTTGCTATACTATGTGAACACTTAAAACTCCTTGAAGTATCAGAGATAGATAGGCCTTGGTTCCTGGCCCCCACCTTTAGCCTCTCATGTGCTTCTTCTGTGTCACTGACATTACATTATAATGTTATTTCTGCAAGTAAGATTATAAATTAGGTCTTTTATGAGCATTCCATACAGATTTTAAATAAGTTAAAATTTATTTTAAAAGACATGTTTTTAAGAAAATATATTATTCTTCCTTTTAAAGTCACATCAGGCTGGAACGTAGCAAACAAGTTGTCAAACCTGATGCATATACCCCAGTGTGAATTTTCAGTGTGAATAAACTGTGAAATCTTTTGGAATTTTTTTTTTCATGAAAACTGGCATTTTCCCATTTGGTTACATGAGATGGGCGTTCATTTTTTCCAAGCCTATTATTCTACATTTTTCTATATTAAACAGCGTCCCTCTTAAATGCACCCTTCTCTCTTGTAGTCCTCCAAATCTTTCTGTTGCTGGTTGTTTTTTTGTGTGTTTTTTCAACCTTCCCACCTGCTGTGTTGTAGTTCATCTTCTTGTGTCTACCGTGTATTCAATCAATATACAATTCACTTCATTTTCCAAATTGTTAGGGAAGATACTAGATTGTATAATTCCCAATATTAACTTCTGAGAAATGCCGCTTGGCATCTCTTCCCATTTTGATGTTCAACTGTAAATACTGTAATTATGCTCTGTTTACAATATGTCTGGCAACTTCATATCTTCATTGCAGTATTCATAACCAGGCACCATATTTCTAGTGTCAGTAATAATTTTCCAGGCAGTAAAGTACCAAAGTCTCATTAAAGTCTCGATAAATTAAATTAAAGCAAAATACTATCTATAAAGTAGCACTAAGTATAGGCAAAAAGAAACATTTGAACTTTCTGGGTTTGATTAGGTCTGTAAAAATCTGTCGAAAAAACCTTTTTCCACCCACCAAACCATAAATGTTTCTGTAAAATATGATCTGTTGCTTTCCCTTTGTGCATTTATCCTGTGATTTTGCACAAATTTTCTAGGCTGTCTGGCATGACCCATTGTTCTTGAAAAAGATCACTTCTCATTTTTCATGCATTCATTTAGATTTACTGTCATACTTATTTTTCCGATTCTGTAGTGCTTTGGGTTATATCTTAGCTTCTATGGTACATGCTTCACAGTGTTGCTAACTCATTTCCCACCCTGTTATGGTCCCAGAAGGTAAGAGTTGCAGAGTTCTTTGAAGATCTTGACTTATATCATATGGGAGAGAGTCTTTGTGATGAAAACTAGGCTGGGAAAGCTTTTCTGACAGAAAGACCTAGTGCCCACAGCATTGCAAACAGGTATCTTCCAGAGACATTAAATTATCCACCATGTTATAAAGGTTGAAGATGCCTCCTAGAATCTGACAAGTGTAGTGGGTATCCACTGATTCCCTTTCTGCCTGCTAATTCTACCAGAATGTCTGTGGAACTGGGATGATGCTTAAATCTGCCTTTGCATATCCCGTGTTGTCTGGTTTCCATAGGTTTGACCATCTCTGTTTTCCCTCTGACGAGATGTTTTTTCTTTTTGCCATTTTAAGCATTCCTGCACCAGCTTTGTTGAATTAGGCCTGACATTATGCTCCTGTTGTTCCAGCCAAACTGTTCTTTTTTTTGTCTCTTTGTTACTATGCAGTGCTGAATGAAGCAATGTCATATCTAGTGAAAACAGCAGCAATAACAATAAGAAGTAGCTCTAAATCATTCTATCAGAAGTATGCATGGAAGAAAACTTGGTAGAAGTAACCAAGTTCCATCAGCAAGGCCACTGGTCAGAAAACTTAGGAAGAGAAAAAGCTGTTGTGTGTGGGTTAAACTGCCTGTCTGCTAAACTGAAGGCTGAGTACAAGTCTGTGCCTAATGAGCACTGCTGTTCTTCAGTATTTCTTTTTGTTTCTGTACCTCATTTGCCCAGAAAAGAAAGGTGTTTTCAGAGTCTCTCTGGGAAATTAATATTTCTTTATACATTGCAATAATAATGATAAAAACTAAAAGGTACAGAACACTGGTGAACTTTTTGTGGTGAATCTTTTATTGCCTTTACATCGTGAAGCCAGTCCTTTACAAAAAGCTTACAAATCCAATAAAGACTTCAAAATTTAGAGTTCTTGAACCACTCAGCTCAATAAGAAAGCTAAGTTTCATGCAGTTGCTTGCTCAGTATCCTAAAATGTTTTCTTTTCCAGCTTTGAAAATATGCATATAGCTTTCTTAGAGGATTTGTTTAATTGGAGAACTCCCAATTAGAGTTTCTGTTTGTTGTACATGCATAACTCTAATTAGAAGGTGAGCTATGTAAAAACTGGGGCCCCAGGTCCTGCCTTTCTGTTTCTGATTACAGCCCTGACCCTCAGTCTTAATTTACCCTGTGTAAAAATAAATGCAAGCTACAGATATCCCTCCTTTATGAAAAAGGCTGGTCATTGTTTGTAAAGTACTTTGAGAACCCTGGAATAAGGTCTGAGTGAATGCCAACCAGTATTAACTGAGTGTGTTTACCTGTAGCCATCTGTATTTTTGTATGTGACCTGTAGAGAATTAGATTATATTTCTGGTTAAGATGTTTTAGTTGCAGAGTAAACCTTGAAAGCTTGATTGGTTTGTATAACATGCAATTTTCTAAGGCCTTTTAAGTAGGTACCAATTGTATGTAGTTAAATATATTCTATGGCACTTGGATATTTTGACCTCTAGTATTATCTGAAACTCAGTGGTTGTTTTTAATTGCAGAGAAGAAATGGGACACTGTCTTGTCTCAGAAACCAACGCTATAACTCTCCTGGGCTTCAGAGGCAAGATTTCAGCGCCACATTGAACCTCTACTCAATCACAAAAATGTAACTGCCTTAAGCATTAATTACACTGGTAGTATAATCAGGCAGGGAGCAGCCATTTTGATGCCAATACAAAAGCTTTTGTTTGAAAATATTTGCAACACAAGAGACTCTAGACCAGGGGACTATCAGTAAATACAGTGAGGGAGAGGAGCATAAAGATATGCTTCATCAGAAACTTGAGAATACCTGGATTTTAAATATATCCAGAGTATCTTGAGTTTTAAGGGTTTTCTGTGTCTGTTTGGCCAAGGAATCTGGTGCTCTTCATAGTGCATTACACACCATTGGTTCATGTGTCTGGATGAGCAAACCATGAAGCAATTTGCCAGAGAGGTTTAATTTATTTTTTAGCAGTGTTTAAAATAATAATGTATAGATACTTATGCAGCAAGCAGGAACAACAGGGAGGTGGCAGAGCACCCATGCTTAGGTGTTTCCAAGTCTTAACACAACAGTCATGGCTGACCCTGTCTAGTGACTGTTCTTGCCTTTCTTGGAGTGGTAGGTTGGGCTGAAAACTTACAGAGATCCCTTCTGAGCAATGTTGCTGTGATTGTAAATCCTGCTGTGGAGCTAGAGTGAGGTATGAGTGTTGATACCTGAAATGAACTGGTATTAAAATGTTAACGCTAGGAAGCTTTTCCCTTGACCTCTAACTGCCAACGAGCAGTGGATAGTCCAGACAAATGGTTTGAAAGTCAGGAAGCCAAAATAACACTAGAACTATGCATTTGTGGCAGAAGTTCTTTTCGGTGTCATCAGACTGAGTGTTATCTGCATGAGGATATCCTGCATGGACTCATATTAATTAATGACTAGTGAGCATTATAAGTGTTCAGCTTTCCATTATAGTTCCTTACCTCCATAATGTACAAAAACATACTATTATTGCAAAGGTAGGAGTGTTAGCATCCAGAATTAAGATAAAATCCACCTGTGCCTGTGTACTACTAGCAGTTTTAATTAGTCATACACTGAGTTTGCACAAGATTCGTTCAGTGCACAAGATGTGTTGTGCTTGCTGAATGGGCATCTATGTATTCTGTGCTCATTATTTAATTACAATCATTTATTTTTACACGGTGTTAAGGTGCACGTATGCTTTGTATTGTCATGAGAGCACCTTGCTGAGTTTCATACTTGCAGCTGTGATCCTGAGTGTTGCTACATTTGCTTCTCTGTTGCATGAGGTTCCAGTAGTACCAGGCTGAAGCATGGCTGGAGCTTAACAGGCTCTGCTGTGCTATGTTGTTTCTGTTGAGCTTTTAACAACCCAGTGAGTAAATAACATAGCCCTCTGTTCTACTCTTGCATACCGTAACTAATGAGAAGACTCGAAACTGAATGAATTGACCCCTATATCTGGCAAAGGTTATACTGCTGCTGCCTTAATGTCTAATATTGCATCCCTGCCTCATTTATTGGTAAAGTATACATTTGCAGAAGTTATTTTGTGTTTATGCTCTGACCTTGTGGA